TAATACCGGCGGGACAAAAAGTGACACTTCAGGACTTGTCATAATGAAGTGAAGTCACTTTAGTCTCGGAAGTACGAAAGCAATAATATGCCATTTTTCCGGCTATCGACTAAAAAAAGTGTTGTGTGGCGGATGTAACGATAAAATATTGTAACGTTATTTATAAATTCGGGTTCGATTTATATCAATATTTATTAAACAAAACTAAAACACTATAAAAACCGTACAATTTATATCGATTATTTATATCACACACACTTCGCAATTTATATTTCCGCGCTCGATGTTTCGTCCGTACTCGTTCGGTAGTAGACTGCCGCGATGTTCGGTCCGCAACCATTTATACACGCAAGCAATGTAAGTCCAGTACATTCTCGAATACGCGTAGAACATTCCAGAGAATTCTGGAGCATTTCCGTTACACTGCCCCCTTCTTAATTCTGGACGTCTCGTTCAGAAACTGCGTTAGTATTACTTTTTAATGCCTCGTGTCGGAATCTGCAGTCAGAGCCTGCTCGACAAACACCTTTCTTGAAAAAGTAACAGTCCACAGTTGTGCGGAGGGTCGTCCCCTGTGGGTTGAAGCAGCATACTGTAATTCGAACGCTAGTGTTTCTAAAAATCACTTCGATCATGGTTCGCACTATCTTCCAGTCCAACCCATCTAAACCACATCCAATCTTCGGCATCGCCAAGCTATTTATGTCATAGTATGCCATGAGTTTCTTCAAGTTTTTTAAAGCAGACCAGAGGTTTTCATAGGTGGGTTTGCCTTCTGACGTTTTCTTTGAAACCAAGTAGAACAAAGAGCGTTGACTATCTTCCAAGCGCAGTACTTTACCCACTCGTGGTCTTTGCTTTAACAACTCGTCTATTCTTCCAAATCTTTTCCGGAATACGGAAGCTATACCTCCACTCATGCGAAGGTCTTCGGCGACACAATGGGCGATGGAAACGTTAACCGGAAGCTCAAAAATATTTTGACAAATTTCCTGAGTAACGCCAAATCGAGCTTTCTTCCGCTGGGCGTAATTTGACATAAAATAGTTAAAGCTGCGTTCCTCTTCTCGAATACCTCTAACTTCTTCGTTGTTGTTGGATCCGGCATATCGTGCGAGTCGATTAATGTGGACAACTTTCGGTTTCCGGTGGTTCATTCTGATACGATATATCACGTCATTTATTTTCTTGATCACCTCATACGGACCTTCCCATTGTCTTTGTAGCTTGGGAGAAAGACCTCTTCGCCTCTGTGGATTGTGCAGCCATACCAGATCTCCAGCTTCAAAAGTTTCATTGGCCGAGCGGAGGTTGTATTGATTTTTCATGCGATCGCTGGCAATCTGAATATGACTTCTAGCCAAGTCGTGAATGTCATTCATCTTCGCCTTTAGTTGGTCAACATAATTTTCACCTGCGACATATTCTTCATGGGTTTACGCCCAAACTCGAGGTCACATGGAAGGCGTAGTTCACGACCCAACATAAGGCAGGCAGGAGTCTGACCCGTGGTCTCGTTGACGGCTGATCGATATGCCATAAGGAACAGGTGGAGGTACTAGTCCCAATTTTTCTGATGTTCTGCCACGACTTTTGAAAGATATTTACCCATCGTTCGATTCATTCTCTCAACCATTCCATCTGACTGAGGATGCAAAGGTGTTGTTCTGGTTTTATTGGCTCCTACCAATCGACAAACATCTTGGAACAAAGCCGATTCAAAGTTCCTTTCTTGATCTGAATGGATTTCTATAGGAACACCAAAACGTGTAAAGAACTCCTTTACCAACACTTCTGCAACTGTTGCTGCCTCTTGGTTTGGAATGGCGTAAGCTTCAGTCCACTTTGTGAAATAATCCATAGCGACAAGGATATATTTATTTCCGCCATCTGTCTCGGGAAACGGTCCTGCGATATCGATAGCAACTCGTTCCATCGGACTACCAACGTTATACTGCCTCATGGGTGCCTTCTTCTTGGAAACTGGTCCGTTTTCAGTAGCACATAACTCACATTTTTGACACCATCGCCGGACATCTTCTTTACGGTTGACCCAATAGAATCGCTCACGTACCCTTTGCAACGTTTTCGTAATACCAAAGTGTCCTCCGGAAGCGCCGTCATGCAATTTTCGCAATACTTCCGACACTTTGCTTCTAGGTACTACTAATTGCAGCGTCGAATCGGTGCCATCTTCACTTTCAAGGGTCCTATACAACAGGTTGTCTTTCAGAGTCAGGCTATTCCATTGGCCCCAATAACTCTTTACTTCAGGACTTGTGGCGCTAATGTCTTGCCAGTCTGGTCTTTGTCCGTGGCGCATCCAATTCAGAACAGTTTTTAAACTTGGGTCGTTTTCTTGGGCCGTTTTGATTTCGCTTGGCTTCCATTCCTCACTCTCTACAGTTGTTCGCCGCAGATGGCCCATCTTGTTTTCTTATTTTATATAACTAGATCGGATTGGAGCTCGCGTCGCTCGCTCCTACCGATCACGGCGTTTTGTTATCACACGCCGTTTTTTGTGGTTTTCCGTTTGTAAATTTTTTTTTTAACTCGATCGTTGTGCGATTTTGTAGTTTGGGTTGTTTTTAATTGACGTCGGAATTTTTTAAAATGCGAAAAAGAAAGGAAAAGGATTTTGATTCGGCTCAAAAAAGCACCAATATATTGATTTTTTTTTAAATCAAACTCGGCGTATGTGTTTGTAAAAATGCTACGCATTTTAAGACTTCGCTAGAGTGAGTATATTTTGCAGAGATATCGCCAAAAAGGAGGATACGTTTTTTGGAACATCACCTATACAAAGTAAATTTTTTAAAATTTCGATTCAACTTGTAAAATCCAGATCCGCACATAATTGTACATAAGATTATTTAATTTTGATAACACTTTTTGGTTTTGAGGAGACATCCGCTCGGCTCCGGCGGCTTTGCCGCCTCGCCTCACTCTGATTCGTAACGGTGCATAGCTCGGCTTCGCCTCGCACTGTTCAGTGCTCAACAAAGATAATTTCTCAGTTTCAATTTTGGTGCGGTAAGAAAATGCCGAAACTAATGTCAGCGAATCAGTATTTTGTTATAGAACTACGTTTTCGCAAGGATCTCCGTTTTTTTATTAAGTTTAGATGAATGACGGGAAAGGTGGGCGCGTGTAGGGCCGTAAGTAAGCGTCGTTTGCCGCCGCGAACGGGGAAAGCCGGGTCTACGGGAGAGCCCTCGTGAAGCTCAACTCGCCTTCGGCTCGTTCGACATTGATGGAGGAAAAATGCGAGCCGTTTTCGTCGCGAGAACGGCGAGCTCGAGTTATGCCGAGTCGAGAATCTTTGTTTGAATTTGTAAAAAAGTTAAAAAAAAATTCCTAAATCTACAAATAACCTAATGCCCCAAGCTAAGGGAGGGCCAAAGTGATGCCGAACTCGCCTTCGGCTCGCTCGGCATTGGTATACGAGGCGCGTGTGTTAAGAATCGAAGTCTTCGGTTACTTTACTTAGTTGGGGAAGGGTTATTAAGAATTTTTATTTCTAATAAAGTTAAAAAAAATATCTTAAACTTACAAATAACCTAATGTGCAAAGCTGCTTGGTGTCACATTTTGTTTAGCTTCATTTATAATTGTTGTTTGAATTTGTATTACGAAAAAAGTTTAAAAAAATTTCTTCAACATACAAATAACCTAATGTCCAACGCAGATTGATGTCACATTCGATTTAGCTTCATTTATAATTTTTGTTTGAATTTGTCTTTCAAAAAAGTTAAACAAAATTTTTAAAAATCTTCAAATAACCTAACGTCCCAAGCTGTTTGATGCCACACCTTTCATTTTCAGTTTTTTAAAGAAGTCTATATAAAATATGTAGGTATAAAAAACCTCGCATTGTTCAGTGTTCAACAACGACAATTTCTCAGTTTCAGTTTTGGCGTGGTAAGAACATGCTACTAAGCAGACTGATTTGATAATTTTTTTGAATTTGTGAGTAATATTTTTGTTTTTTTTTTGTGGAAGCAACACCTATACAAAGTGATTTTTCTACTCAGCCTGTTTGTACACTCGGGGTTGTTTTAGCCTCCTGTAGAACAGGTTCATCCTCATCGGGAGAATTTTCTTTACGATTTCTCCACGTACAGAGTTTACATGCTATAATAGAAATCCATGAAAATAATTGGATCATTTTGAGTGGTCGTGAGGAGTTTGTGTAGTATTCCTTATTTTATTTGTTGTTTATGAATGTATTAGGCATGGAAATATGATGATTTTTAAAATTGTTCACGATATCTAACACAATCCTTATAATATGTACAGGAAAGCATAAAAATTTTAAGACAAAGAAGTTTTTACAATTTTGTTGGAACCTATAGTGTTTCGTAGGTAGTAATTCACGTGCCTTTCCATAGGAGATTCTTTACAAATGGACTTCATCCTCAAGCAAGTATTGGATAACTTAAGGTGCTGTATATTACAGTATCGTGTCCTTCAATGGTAATAAGTATATTTGAAGTACGAGCTTTTATACCTTTTTATAATGATATCGTAGTTCGCTGTTTGGACCAAGTGGTAATAGGTGGTCGCTTTAATACTAGTAGACTATGTGGACATGTAGAAATAAAAGTGGAAGGTAACGAACTAAAACTAATCCTTCGCTACCTTCCTAAGCATGAATATTTCATGTGACGAAATGCTTTCGTTTCCGCTAGAATCTTGGACATACTTTTTGCTCTAACCGGAATATAAACTGATGAATAACCTCCTATAGGACTTCTTCTTGAAGAACACGGATAATTTGTTACATCAATAATAAATTTTCATACCATTTCTATCGTAAATGTCTTTATGCTACGTAGCAACATGCACATCGGCATGAATTTTTGGTCGACATCAAGTCGATTACTCGAAATTGTGCAAATGTAGGTTTGTTTACGATGACATTTTCATAACAACGATAAAACACGTTAAATTTCCTTAAAAATGGTGTTTTTTAATTTTACATAAAATAGTAATGTCCCAGATTTTTTGACAGTTCCCGTGACAGTTGTATAGATGGCGCCATTTGAAAAAAATACATCTTCTGTATCGGCGCATGCCCAATATAACCGTTCAAATAATACCACATTTCAACCGCGTAGGTTCATTTGAACGTTGCGGCGGTTCCTATTTTCTTAGGAAGTAGTGCTTTTTAGCGCAACTTCCATTGGGGAGTATTCCCTGACGTGTACCACGGCGTACTGCGTTGAGGGGTGTACACGTAGTGTATAATACTTCCCTAACAACAACATAGTTCCCTTTCAGCTCATTTTTCGGATAGGGTGTTTTGTTTAGGTCATTTCCGCTGATAGTTCCGCTTTCTCCGCTCGTTCGAGGAAAGATAGTGTTTGGATGTTAGTTAGTTAGCTTAGGTTAGGGGGCTAATAAACCAATAAACCGAATGCTCCATTCTAAAAAACAGTTTTCATCAATCTGACAATAGAATCACATTTATACATACCTAGTCTAAGAATTTTAGCATTACGGGGGAACTCAGAGCCGCCCCCTTCAACTTCTTCGGTGGCCCCATACCGATGTCGAACTGAAGGTAACCTGAAATCCTATTAACAAAAGATTTTTTAATTTCATTGTTGCTAGGAATTTGTCACTTTACAAGATAAATTAAACGATAAAAGAGGGTAAAATGATCCCACGAAGATCCCAATTCCACGAGGTGGAAGAATGTCTTCGAAATCTAAAAAAATACGTGCGCCATAACTTGATCGTTTACCATAATTCACTTACCAATAAAATAAACAATTAAAAACAATATAAATGGACCGATGAACGTAAATGAAAAATTTACTAAACTTCACCCAAGACGAAACGTGATCGCAATGGAACCTGGAAATAACGTGGCGCCACCGTCGTAGAATGAACTACATTCGCGACGGGGATCTAAATATCGACGTGACTCCCTAATTTTTATTAAATATAACCTCTCGGCACGGGATTAATGCGATTTCGATTTTCTTCGGAGAGGTCAATTTAAATAGAGTACTAATTATGCTAAATTTTTCCCATTGTAAGTATATAACTACGAATTATAGTTTAAAAATTATAAAAGAAAATTGGCACAGACGAACTAACGTATTTTTTACAAAAAAATTTCCAGAACCTTTATTTTTCAATCGATTCGGACGGTGAAAGGTGCATCTGATAGCTAATAATTCGAGCTAAATATTCTCCATTGAACGTACCCGTCTGGCAAGTCTTAAAAAAATTATTATAGAGTATATAGTTCAATGATTTATATAAAACATGACAGTACTATGAAGTTAGGTTATAAAAAATTACTGATATTCAGTTTTTATTTGATCAAAATGGCGGATAGCCGGTTACATTCTGTGGTGCTATACAGTGCGAACAGTGCTTTACTATGCCGCTTCAATAAATAATGACGTTAGTAAATATTTGCCGCAATAGGCGCGGGGCACCAATACTAATTTATAACCTTAAACTTCAAAACAAATTAAACATTTGACATATGATTATATTTAACCCAAATAAAGATTTAATCACCTTGTAAGTTTCCAAATGATGTGAAATTATACGAATAGGAAATTGCTACAACAATTGAAACAATTTTATTTCTTTTACAAATCGTTAATATTGAAGTAATTGGATAAATCACATGTTATAAACAACTGTTCGAAGATCTCGTCACCATAATTAAGACAGGGGTCCACTCTTTTCTTTGTTTTCGAAGCCGGCATGTAAGTGCCGTTGCATAATGCTTCAAACGGTAGCTTCTATATCTGCTCGTAATTCGGCAATGGTGTGTAAACGGTTTCGAATACGTTGACATCTAGTAAATTTGCATGCAATATTTTAGGACTTTGCAAGTCCAGACGATGAGTTCTTGTAACACGGTTACTTTAAAGGATAGAAGTACAATTTTCTCCAGGCAATAGTGTCACACGTTCCGTATGAGATATCCGTTAGTGGGACAAATTATCGCAGTTGCTTTTTTCAACTTTGTTCAAGACGAGCAAGAATATCTTTTACAAAGGCCTTATTAGCAATCACTAAGGGGCCAGGTGACTTCCCAGAAGCAAGACTTCCTGTATGCGAAGCCGTTCAAGTAAACGACGAGCATTTCGGCGTATATTGTTGTAATCCTCGTCACGGTTGACATCCGTTTATCGAAACTCCTGTATACACAAACGTATCGAGTACTCTCAAACTTCACTTACGTCTTTAGTTCCATTACGGAAACAGAACTGCAAACGCATCTTATTCTCTTCTAAGAAGTAAAAGGCTTGTCGAAGTAAACCTATTGCCTATTACACGCTACAACTAAAAAAACGTTTGTTTGTAATTTACAAGTAATTTACCCACCTTGTAAATATTCGAAAGAAACTGGTAGTCTTGAAAAAAGCCGTGTTGAAAGGGACGATAGTAATAAGAATCACAAATTATAGTTTGTGAAATTATAGGTTATATTTTGTATTGGAACACATATACCTGGTTACGGCAAATGCTCAAAAAAAATTCTAGTAACTTTAATGTTGGGGATTGTATCACCTGTTTAGAGATGGGATTATATTTATATAAAACATGACAGTACTATGAAGTTAGGCTATAAAAAATTACTGATATTCAGTTTTTATTTTTAAATTTTTTTAAGTTGGCAGCAAATTTTCACCAAAATGGCGGATGATTGTGTTACTTTCTATATCTAGTGACTTTAGTATATAGGTGCACATACACGATAGCTGGTTGCGGCAAATAATTACTATTGTCATATTTTATAAGAGCGGTGCAGCATATAATTATTGATCTCTCAGTATGCGCACGTGTGTAAATATACGAGATATCGCGTTTTAAGTGTTTTCAATGGTGTCAAATTACATATCGTTATATTTCCTTTATTTATAGTCCGATCTCGATAAATATTCAGTATTGAGAGGTTCATTTCCGAGCTGGTATCTCAGTTTCCAAATTTCGACCCTCCCATCGGTTAGATTAGGTCGAGAACTTTCTAAAGACACCCAGGAACCCCTATCTACGACGTTCCGTTTTCGAGATATCGCGATTTAAGTTTTTAATAAAAAATCCAAAAAACGGTTATTGCGTAGATCGTCTAGAAATGTCGCGAAACGCGTGATTCCGAAGTATCGAGGTCGCAGGTCGAAAGACGACAGAGAGACGTCGATATCTCGAAAAGGGGAGGGGATAGGAAAAAATTGAAAATCCCATTTCGAGCCCCCGGCCGGACGCAGCTACGGTTTAAATTTGGTCCAGATCGGCCGGTAAATAAGGGAGATATTAAGAGATGCGCGGCCCTTTAAAACGCATCCATGCGCGTGGACTTAGAAAAAAAAGGCACACCCCCGCCCCCCGAGCGACACGGGCCCCCCCCTTCGGCCACAGGCTGACGCCCGACGCCTACTGAAGACGCGGTCGAAATTTTTCCCGGTTTATACGTACAACTTCGGAGATCGATCGCGTACGAGTAGATACGGGATTGTATATATATAAATTGAGTATATATATATACTCGTTTGTGACAAAATTTTTTTATCGACGTTTCGCGACCCGTTTGTTGTCGATGAGGGAAGGACACAGTTTGGACTGTTGGCGACGGCGGCGTCGGGTGACGTCGACAGGCGTCGCCAAAATGCGAATCTCGGTAACGGAAAGTCGTACGAAGGCGTGTGAGGTATCGTTGGAAAGGTCTCGGCGGCGCGATTACGATAGATTAGGTTGAGCGCGTCTTCCCATCATATTTGACTTGGACGGTCCGTCGTTCGGGTCCGCATTTGAGCGATCGTAAGTGTTTCTTAGGTCGTCTCGTTTCCGCGGCGCGAGGGATAAAGCGGAGCGACGTCGATAAGGGCAAACTTCGCGCCCCCCCCCCCCCCCAACGGCCCATAGTTTTTGAATGGGACCCCGTACGTCTCACGCGGGACGGTCGGGACTATCGATCGATCGCGTTTCGAGGGGGGGAAGTAGAGCTACTTTTCGAGCAATTTCGCTCTCTTTCCGCTCCCGTTTTCTCGTGCGCGTCCTCCCCCGCGGGGGGGAGTCGCGACTTTCGCGATCGAGTACCTCGAAAGCCTCGACCCTCCTACCCCCCCTATCCGCGAGCTCGATTTTTCCAGTTCGACGGGCGACCCTCGGCGAATTTTTCTTCGGAGGTGCGATTTTGGGGGGTGGCAGCGGAGGGGTGAAGACGAATTTTCCCGGGGGAGCGGCCCATCGTAAAAATCGCGTCTTCGGAATTCGAGAGTCGTGTAAAAATTTCTTGAAAAT